GTGTACATGGAATCATCGTAGTAAAATAATCATAGAAAATCAATAAATTATTAAATAAACGAACACTACTCAATATTAAAAAAGAAAAAAAATAGTAATTAAGTGGCGTCATCATCCATCTGTCACCAGAAAGAAAGGATCCTTGTCAAAATCTATATAATAAACACGAGTTCGTCGCATTATTTGTACAGTACTATAAGTAAAGGCTGGTGGAAAATACCGGACCAAAGCTGCCGATGTACGTACAAAAGGAGAAGGGATGCTGAGGATGTTGAGGGCCAAGAAGATGAGGACCAGGATGTTGAGGACCAGGAAGATGAGGACCAGGAAGATGAGGGCCAGGGTGATGAAGACCAGGATGATCAGGGCGAAAACTGGGGTCCAGATAAAATGTTTGCCGAGCTTGATATAGATGGGTGAGTTTGAATTTTAAATGATTGTACTTACTATACACACGAACGCACTCATTCACACATACACGCACGCACACACACACATACACGTACACCACCTCACTTATAAACATAAACACGAACGTGCAGATACACTCAACCAACACCGTCAAACTCGCATGCCAGCCCGACCACACGCGTTCACATAGACCCCATTCCCATAACGAGATCGATATTTTAGTATCGACCCACCTCCAAGGGGATTCTCGTTAAAATGCCGAAGCTGCTAAACGATAGTTAATTACCGCCTTACAGCTTTAGTAGACGTGTCAGACATCAGACCCGTTTCAGCCGAATGCAGTTTAGCGAGAAACCCCTCAGAGATTTGTTGATCCTGCTAGATCGACGCAGGTATGGGAACGGGGCCACAGACACATACTGGGGCATACAGTTGTACGTGAGAATTACACCAGCCTAATACGAATTTAGGTTACAACTCTTTTGATATATACGAACTTCATTAATCGTCACACGGGGTGTCAGGAACCACAGTATAGAAAAAGTGTAATTAGTGCTTTTAAAAATTTTACATATGATGTAGTATTAATTCAATCAGAGGAAGCCATGTTGTATAAGTAGCTTCAGATAATACATCACACCTTGCAGTTCAAATCTTAAGGTCCTTTGTTTCAAGCTAATAATCTGTTAGAGCTTGATTACATGGAGTTTATGGGACTGACAACCATGAGAGGGTGGACATGTGTCTGAAGTAACCAATCAGTTTATAAGTTATATGATGGGCAGTTTAATTGATAAAGTTTAGTATAAAAATCTGTAAACTTATATCTGGAAGAGATTGATGAATAGCTAGAAGATGGCACGGGATAGACGAGAGAGAGAGAGGGAAGGAGAGAGAGGCTTGTACCGTGTAACTGATAGTGTAGGAAATATATTCTGTTGAAGTTACAACATGGAGTCTTTTCATTCTTTTCTATGTGCAGAGTTTAAGACAAGGAACCTGGGAATCTCTGTAGCAGTATTACAGATAGCGTTTTCCAAAGATGTGGGCCCTTTGAGCTAAACTCTGGGGTTTTATTATTAAGGGGTTATTTAATGTAATGTGGGGTCCCGGGATGGTCTTAAGGGGGTTCCCCACAAGGCCAAATTATTCAGACAAATGGTCTTTCACAATGAGCGTTTTTGAGTCCGTTTCCAGATTCGTAAAATTAAACCAAGAAGTTATTCCAACTCCTTGGTTAAATATGGTGCTTCACTCGTGTTCACGGGTTTGCTTCTTCTGTTTGGGTAGAATTTTAACTTCGAGCATGTACCCACATAAAATATGCCGTTATTGAGTGTATATACATCAGTTACATGTAAGATAGGTTGTTACATTAACTGGTCGTGCCCAGTGAGATTCACTTTCATAAATGATAACCAGATTATTCAGCTGCAATGTGGAAAGCTAAAATACTACTATCCCTGTGGAGCGCTCATTCAGAAAAAAAAAGACTTAATTTATTTTAAAACCCTTTTCGACTTCGTTAAGGCTCCCTCTGTCACGTGACCTACGCACGTAGCGTTAATCGAATCTTTTTTATGTTTCAGAGATGGTTATATAAGCTTGGATGAGCTCAGCACTGTCCTACAGGGTTACCCAGATATTAACGCTGCGTTTAAGGAAATGGACGCCAATGATGACGGCAAGATTGATCGCCAGGAATTCGATTCTGATCTGCAGTAGCTCTAAAAAACATCACGTCTTCCTCCCTTTATTGAAATTAGAAATGTACCTTTATCATTATGTGAGACGAAATGATAATGCTGTTTATATGTAATTCAGATACATATACAACTTTTTCCTTTTATTTCGCGAAATATTAAATTTGGAATTATGTGAGACAAAATGATAACGTTAATTATATGAAATTCAGATAGCAATGCAACTTGTACTGTCATGATTTATTTTTTTAGTTTGGCTTGTTTTCGGCACATGTCTCTGTCCCTTGTGAAATGATTTTGTTGAGTTCACAGAGGTTGCACAGGTGTGTGACATTTTGCAACTTCAGTAGAACGTTAATTCAACTTTCCTACTTTTACCTGACGTTTTACAAAGTTTGATAACCTTCACATTTGAAGTTACCGGTATATCATGATAGAAAAACTCTCCGAGACAGACTGAAACAGAGATATGGGGGCTTTACATCGATAGCGGCTTGTCTATTTCAAAAGCGCATTGAACAATACTGGTAGTTTTCATTTGTAAATTACTTTGCTCTGCATGAGAATGAAATACGATATGAATGAAGAATGATGATATTCAAGTAAAATACTCATTTTTTCACGGAACACGAAAGACGATAGCAGGGAGACTAGGTTTCATTCTCGGCCCCTTGCAGGTATAACCATGGTTAAGTACACCAGACAGTAAGAGTGCCTCTTATTATATTATATATCGTTAAATCAAAAGAGAGAGTTTGTTTTACGTAGGAATCGGGTCGCAACTTTGTCTACGGCCGACATCACATGCACAACCGAATGCATTACTATGGAACGCCATTTTGTGTAGGCTGTTAGAATGTCATTTGGCTATTAAATTGCAAGTCTGATTTTTTGCGTGAATAGCGTTTCATACATTACATTTGCTATTTCAACAGCACGGGTTTCTCTGTAGTGTAAAAATGGAAACTATTTCTCTCTCTCTATCTATCTCTCTCTCTCTTTCTCTCGCACAAACACACACTTAACAAGTGTCCAATTAAAATATGTTGCATTTGCAGCATGCGAACATCAATCACTAATTATATTTTCTGATATATATTTAAGCTGGTGTCCTGGTAAAAGCAAATCTTTCTAGTCACTTTAGAAAAACGTCGCATAGAACAAGGCAATTCTTTCTTTCAGAACGTTAACAGTGACAACGATGAACTAGATATTTTTTTCTTAATTCCCAAATTCTACAGATAACTACCCGGTATATAAAACATTCAACCCAGCTTCAATGTGCCAAACATTTAAACTGAAAAATTCCGCCACACTTTCATCCCATTTTCCTATAAAAGCTTTACGGGGCCAGTGCATAAATTAAATGTGACTAAGTTGCTGTCTGTATATTTTGCCGTTACGCGAGGTAGCAAAAACCACTTTGTTATAATTATGGGGCTCTTTCGCAGAGAGAATTAAGAGACTTGTGTTTCCAGTACACTGTGAAACTTAATATGCATAAAGGCGTTATTATTATTATTATTATTATTATTATACCAATTGCCTTTATGCATATTAAGTTTCACAGTGTATATATATATATGTACCAACTTGTTCTCTGTAAAGTTAACAGTTTCGATTTAGAAACAGTTTCGATTCAGAATCTTAAAAGGTACGGATAAAAAAAAAAACCTGAGCAGGTAGCCAATAGAGACGATGAAGATTTGATAAACCGATTTGATATAATGTGTCCTTGCCTGTTTGTTTTACTTGTAACGCACATAATTGTACCAACTGTAAAGTTTACTGAACATATATGTTATATTATGGAACGTGGACTTGAAATAAATATATTACATAACAAATTGTTAACCAGTCCCCGTCTGTGTCCTTTTCTCTCCCCAGCAGTATCCAAATCACACTGGTCTCACGTGGTACGAATGAAATAGACATGTACGACTGGTCTTGATAATCGTTATAAGTAAGTTATTAAGTAATTTTGCATTTCCAAAAAAAAAAAAAAAAAAAAAAAAACACTATTTCAAACTTCCCATCACCATTCTCCATTCAATCTGTATTGCATTCCCGTATACAGCAGATCAAAGTAATTTCTGGGTCAAAAAAATACCAGTATTATTCGAAGCGTTTGTCAAAACAGATGAGTCATCTTCACAATAAATCCTCTTTATGTTCAGTTTTACACGTATGAATGTAAACTTGTGTTTACTTTTTACTACATCGGCAGAATTATTCACACATCTGAACTTCTATTTGGAGTTTAGTAAGTTGACCCTTTCTATTTGCAACGGCATCACCTTGAATTTGAACTTAACACCACCCATTTGCTGGTTACTTAAAGCAACCGCTCGGTCNGACGAAAGGGCGGTTATCAAAGTTTGTGCTGGGAATAGAAACGCTAAAAGTTTTGTATACTGTCTACATCACCTGCAGAATTGTTAACATTTTTAAAACTTCTACACAGAACTGACAGATCGAATTGCCCCGTTCTCTTCGTTTCGGCATCACCTTTAATCTGAAATTTATCAACATCTCGCCATTATTTTGTTGAAACAACCCCACGACTTTGACGGTAAACATGAATCGTTCTTTGTCGATTCATTTGTCCTGCCTTTCTTAATGACGTATTCAAGCTTTTAAGCAATTCTAGAAACTGCCCTTAACAAATTTTCATCATAAGAACCCTGTTTCCTCTCTTTCTCTTATAGTATATATCTCAGAGACAGTTTTACTTATTGTTCTATCCAGGTAGACAGATGGAAGGACGGTTATCAAACCTTGTAAACTGCGAATAGAAGCACTCTGTTCAAACACTCACACATACGTGTAATAAAGACATTCAAGGGAAATGCAGCATCACATAAATATACCTGACTATACACTTTTCCATTGACATAACTTATATGAGATCGGACTTTTTGAAAAAAGAATGCATTTTTACCCAGGCATACCTTCGAAACTGAAATATTCCATAAAATGTCAAGTCTGTATAAGAAAAAAAAACTAGACCCTCACATAAACAAACTGAAAACTTTTAACTAGGGGCGCTGTCAAAACACACGCCCCCAGGGGCACAGCCTTGGATCGTGCTATTATGTTGAGAAGCATCTTCCATGTACGTATGGGATCTCAGTTTTAGAGCAACTATCAAAAAGCCCCGTGTACGCCAGACTGGTTTTAGAAGATCCTCTAAGGTATTAGCACGAAGGGTAGCCATCTATCAAGGTCGACGTGGCCCAATGGCAGACAGATTTCAGAATAATTGCAATAACCGCCGTTTTGGTGCTAAAATGGAATTTATTATAATTCTCTTTGCTATTAACAATGTATGTATGTGTGTGGCATGCACATGCATTTATTGTGAAGTTTAAATTTCATATGAAGAGATGTTATCACACTTAACTTTCATTATATATATATATATATATATATATATATATATATATATATATATATATATATATATATATATTCTAAGGGTTGACCAACTTGTATGGTCTTTCAGACGTATCTGTTCGTATGGCTTTGTAAAAAATCGTCTACATAACTTTGATGACAGCGTAAGATACTTTCATCTCACCAGTACACAGGTGTGTTCGGCATTTCAAAAGGTGCTATCGTACACGTCGGTAACTGTATACATTGTTCAAATTGTGGGTACGAAATTATTTGGAAACTCTGTGTGAATGGAAACGGAGTTCTCAGGTAAACTTTGTTGAAGGTAGTTTTTTGGAATGCTGCATAGCATAATAGCGAACACATATGACGCCAAGGGGACTTTTGCAGCCACAGGTAGATACCACCACATTGTCTTCTTTTCTTTACTGAAGAAGTTGCCAAAAGTGGTGGTATCTATAGCTGCACAAAAGCGAAAGGCCTTTTTGCGCATTGAGATTCAGCGGACAATGGGAACCTAATTAGCCCTATGGTTCCAGCGTGCCTCTGAGAGTCAAGGCGAATCCCAAATTTCCCATGAAACTCAGTTTGTCTTTGCCCCAACCGGATGTTGATATTTTATATTTTAGAAGTTGACTTCCTTTCCAGTGTTTGTGTCGGTTGTTACTTGCCTGGCGGCCATAGTGCAACAAACCTCCGCTCACTGCTGCCTAGACAGCAACATTGGAGGTTTTTGTCCTGATTGCACTAAGGTAAGGCTTACTATATTACTGAGCTAGATAAAGAGCTTCGGAATACAGAAAACAATGGCACTGAATATTTCAGTTTCAAAATGTATAAGTTTGCAAGGGAACTTAAACCAAGATGTCAAGTTTATGTCAGTGAACGTTATAAAATACTTTTCTCTTTTCTCACTATGTGTGTGTTTGTGTGTATGCGTGTGCGAGTGTGAGAGCGCGATCGTGTGTAGGTGCGAGTGTATCTACGAAACAGAGAGAGAGAGACAGTGATTATACAATTTCACGTTTTACTTTACAGAAAACCCCTTACTGTTCGTACGAAAAGTGCAACTTATTCGGTTGCAAGTGTACCGCTCCATGTAGAAAGAACTGTAATCCTTTGTTCACGTATGTTCAAATCTCTCTCTGTCTCTCTCTCTCTCTCTCTCAAGGACAACTAATGGGTTCGAATGATCTTAAATATATACGTCATGCACATCTTAAAAGCTAAATGTACTGAGATAATCTTTCACTAGATATTCACATATATTTTCTTGGTTATTCTACGTACATTTCTGTTCAGCAGTAAGAAATGGGTATATGAAATCACCGTATAGTAAAATAATTATAAAAACAATAAATTATTAAATAAATGAACACTGCTAAATATTAAAAAGAAGAAATAGATGAGTAATAAAGTGGCGTCATCATCCACCTGGCACCTGGAAGATAGTGTCCTTGTCAAAACCAATTTAATAAACACGAGATCGTTGCATTATTTGTGCAGTATCAAAGATGAAGGCTGGCTGAAAAAGTCGGACGTCAGTTGCGAATGTAGGACCAAAGTGAGGAGAAGGGATGCTGAGGTTGTTGAGGACCAGGATGTTGAGGACCAGGAAGATGAGGACCAGGGTGATGAAGACCAGGATGATCAGGGCGAAAACTGGGGTCCAAATGAAGTGTTTGACGCGATTGATACAGACGGGTGAGTTTGAATTTGGGTGCTTGCACTTAATACACACACGAACGCGCGCGCACACACACACACACACACACACACACACAGTCACTACCTCATTTATGAACATGAACACGAACGTGCAC